AAAGTCAGTGTTCTTTAAGATATTTGATTCGCAAATACAATCTATACTTTTATATGGCTCTGAAGTGTGGGGATTTCAGCAATATGACAAATCGGAAAAAGTTCATCAATTAGCCCGTAGGACAACAAACCCCAAATGCTATAATCTACGGGGAAACGGGTCGCTTTCCACTGTACATCACTGTACATCTCATGGCCTTGGCTTTGTATGGATATCGCAAACAGTTGGGAACCAGCTTTCATTTCTATGGCTTTTTAAGGATACTTGTGTAAACGTGTTTTACCAAAACTGGAGATTAGTCTTAAACTTTAGTTCAAGATATCATTTATATGCAGAGTTTAAAAGTCTTTTAGAACCTGAAAAATATCTTTCTGTTTTGTATAAAAGAAAATTTAGAAACATAATTGTAAGATTTAGAGCAGGTCTTTTAAAATTGAAGAATAATGAAGGCAGATATCTGTCGATAGAAACGTCTCTTCGATATGTCCAGTCTGTAATAATGGTATAGAGGATGAATTTCATTTTTTACTCATTTGTTCATGTTATAATGATCTCAGAAAATAATATTTATCGGCAAAATTTTGCCGATAACCTAGCCAGAACCATTTCAAATCTATTATGTGTAATAACAATGAAGCAGTCTTAAATAGTTTATCACGTTTCCTATATTACGCTTATGCAAAAAGAACAAGTAGTACAATTCAATTATGACATAAGTCATGTGTCACGTCACTTTACCGTTGCATCTGTGAACAATTGGTATATTGTGAACTGTAATTGTATATGGGCCCGAGGCCTTCATGCAAATAAAAGTTCTTCTTCTTCTTCTTCTTCTTCTTCTTCTTCTTCTCTTCTTCTTCTTCTTCTTCTTCTTCTTCTTCTTCTTCTTCTTCTTCTACTCAACAGAGACATGTCTCTACTCAACAGGGGGTGCCAGGTGCATATCTCTACTAACAGAGACTGCCTGGTGCATGTCTCTACAGTGTGAATCTGGTGGTTAGGTCATTGTATCTAACCATAAGGATCTGGTAGTTAGGTCATTCTATGCAACTTTGTGAATCTGGCGGTCAGCTCATGGTACCCAACAGCGTGGATCTGGTGGTCAGGTCATTGTATCTAACCATAAGGATCTGGAAGTCATGTAATTTACCTCAACAGAGTGGATCTGGTGGTCAGGTCATTGTATCCAACAGTGTGGACTGGTGGTCAGGTCATTGGATCCAACAGTGTTTCTTTGTTTGTTAGTTAGTTGTTTAACGCTGCACTCAGCAATATTCCAGCTTTACGCCAGTGGGATGTAAATAATCAAGTCTGGACCAGACAATCCTTGAGCATCGATCCACGAATTTGCGATATAATGACATGCATCAACCAAGTCAGCAAGCCTGACCACCCGATCCCGTTAGCTGCCTCATACTACAAGCATGGGTTGCTGAAGACCTATTCAAAATATCACTGCATGTAAAGCATCACCACATATCCTGAGATGTAAAACGTTGTTCAAAATTAACCATGAGAATCAAAGGGATGTTATTAAAGCCCTAATGTGAAAAGTTGAAAATTTAGGTGTCTTCCTTGATTCAAATACTATAGTCACAAATCTGGAGGATCCCAGGAGCACCTAAAAAAAACATTTCATGACATTAAGGACTAGGGAGTAAGTTAATTTCAAACACTGCAAATACTTTTTGCCATTTCTTATGAGAAAAGTCATATAAATATCTTACTGGCATGAAAATGTTTCCATTATTTAAGGTATCATCTACCTATGCTGGGCCCTATCTCAGGAAGAGTGGGGTTCTTCTAATTTTTAATATGCCAACAGGACATTTAACTGGCATGAACATTGGTCAGGCTCGCTGACTCGCTTGAAGTATGTCTTTTCATCCCACTTGCAAAGGTTAATTGATGGTCGTGATTCCAATTACTAGATCGTCTGGTCCATACCCGATATTTAACGACTGTTGTCATTTAGCTGGAATACTGCTGAATGTGGTGTTAAACAACAAACAAACAAACAAAACTGGCATGTAGCTTTGAGCCACATAACACTGCAGCTTCCTCACCCCTTTAGTTTCTTGGAAGATTTAGGTAAAAATCAATTCATAAAGATCCATTATAAGTCCCATTGAATATTGTACATCATAGCAAAGTCTTTCGGTCTGTGGTCTCTGAGAAAGAAAGTTTGAAAGATTTTTAAAGATTTTTTTAACCATTTTTTTTTTTATGAAGTGATTATTTTTTTCATTCTTCAAGCAGGAACAGCTCTTAGTCACAATGTGTTTCTATGAAGCATATCAAGTGTGCTGCTTGCCGTGCCAAGCGGATTTTCAGAAGTTTTTAAAGATTACACATGATTTTACTGAGGCAAAGTTACGATCAAAACATGCTAGATTCTATTTACATACTAAAGTCAGTGGCCACTTCTAATATATTTAAATCATCTGAACAAATAAGACATGGGTAATGGCTAACAATGGCATGTTTGCCATTTAAACCAAACGATACTTTGGAAAGGACTATTTGAACAAACTTTAGGCTGACATAAGAGAGATCAGGCGAGTTTCAGCTTTGTTGTGTTTGTTTTTGTAGAACAAGTCAAAACAACCCAAATTCACACTGGATACACTAACGGCGGATCTGTGTATACAAGAATGCTGTTCATTCACAATTAGCAGTCATAATATTAACGAACATTACTCCATTATTTCCTGACACGGGAGAGGATGGACACCAAGGACAATTTCTTGCCTCGGCCGCACCCAACTGTGCCTGTTTGTGCAGTCGAATGCAAGTCTTGCTAGATCCGTGTCTACATCTTAATCTATACATCCAAAATATATTTAACAAAATAATAACAGTGAAACTACTATCTTATGTATCCACGGGCTGATAAAGAATCCCATGACATATCACATTTTGCTATAAAACAGCAAACATCGTCGGTATTATTTCTTAAAAGCACTTCCTGGACGCCATTTTCTTTAAGGAAGTTCAACGTCTTGTTCGGTGGTGCTAGACTAAGGCATAGTCCCTAAAATATACTGAGTAAAAATAAAAACTTCATATGCTGCAAAATGGTGCCAAGATCTTGCAAATTCTGTGGTTGTTTCTGGAGAGTGCGCAGGCTTCTGCCAAGAGCATCCCAGACGTGTTCGATGGGATTGAGGTCGGGAGACCTTGACGGCCAGTCTAGGACATTGACTCGCGCATTCTGAAGAAAATTCCTTGTCAAAATTGCTGTGTGGGGTCTGGCATTGTCGTGTTGGAAGATCAAACCGGGTCCATGTGCTGCCATAAAAGGCAGAAGTTCTGATACCAGTACCTGGTTGCCAAAAAGCCTGGAACGTGCATTGCCACAGAAAGCACCCGACACCATGACACTTCCGCCTCGAAATCTGTCAACTTCCTGTACACAACACTGGGCGTAACGTTCATTACGGCGCCTCCACACCCTCGTCCTACCATCAGCAAATCGAAGATTAAATTGGGATTCATCACTGAAGACGACTTGATTCCAATTCCTCTGAGTCCATCGTAAGTGTCGCTGTGCCCACAATTGACGTTGACATCTGTGTAATTGAGTCGGAATCGGCCCAAAGTATGGCCGTCGTGCTTGAAGTTGAGCAGTTCTCAGACGGTTTCGAACAGTTTGCGCACTCAGTCTACCCCTAAACAGTTCATTTCTGGTTGATGTAGCCGTCAAAAATCGGTTACGGAGGTGACGTAAGACAATCTGACGATCCTCTGCATGTGACGTCACACGTGGTTGACCTGGCCGAGGGCGATCAGCGGTGGTACCCGTTTGCTGTAGACGCGTCTGTAAATCATAAACAGTCCGTCGACTACAACCCATCGTCCTTGCGACTTCAGCTACGGACGTTCCCGTCTGCAACATGCTGATGGCACGTTCACGTTGCACATTTGAAAGGCGTGGCATGACAAATGCCCTTAAAGACTTTTGTTTTATTGTGTTTTTCTTTTTTTGTTAATGATTGCTAACAAGTATGGCTGAAAACACGTGCGGTATTGGGGCCACGTGACCAGTTGGACGTGAAAAAACACTTTTGCCACTATAGTGCTGTGCACATGATTTTGATCGATTCACCTGCACAAAAACGGGTGTTATCTGAAGACAAAACGTGGCCATTACTGTTTAAATACACAATAAGGGCCCACAATGGTCAAAATGTTAAAATTTTAGGATTGTTAAGTTTTTAATTTGGTTCAGTATATATGATTTGATAGAAACAAACAACTCCATTTAAATTGAAGAGGAGTCCCACTGAGATGGCAGATTTCAGAGGAAAATCTAGACTTGCTTCATTTTGGGATTTTGCATTGCAGAAATGGCTGGTCGGAAAGGAAAATAATATGGATCAGGGACCCTGAGACAGATTAAGAGGCCGCTTTTTACCACAGATACAAATAATGTTAATTTTGTCAATGTATGTTACATATTTATAGGAAAGATCGAGTATAAATATTCCACCACTATGTATTTTTGCATTTTCTTTCTAAACTAATGGGGGCGGTCGGGTAGCCTAGTGGTTAAAGCGTTCGCTTGTAACGCCGAAGACCCGGGTTTGATTCCCGACATGGGTACAATGTGTGAAGCCCATTTCTTGTGTCCCACGCCGTGATATTGCTGGAATATTGCTAAAAGCGGCGTAAAACCATAATCACTCACTCACTCTGAACTAATGTTAACAGATATCTGTATGTGTACATAAGAACAATGTGTGACCCACGGTATTTGTGGGGAGTTTGTCTGGTCCCTTTATAATTATTCAAGTAAAATAAATGCAGTGTAGATTCCAACCCCTCCTATAACCCACGGTATTTGTGGGGAGTTCGTCTGGTCCCTTTATAATTATTCAAGTAAAATAAATGCAGTGTAGATTCCAACCCCTCCTATAACATCAGTATGTGTGGGGAGTTCGTCTGGTCCCTTTATAATTATTCAAGTACAATAAATGCAGTGAAGATTCCAACCCCTCCTATAACATCAGTATATGTGGAGAGTTCGTCTGAGTGGGGCTGATAATGGCAGGAACACTTGGTGGTACACTTCTCCCTGGAGTAGTGACACCAGGAGGTGGTACACCTGTACCTGGAGAAGTGACACCAGGAGGTGGTACACTTGTACCTTGTGTAGTGGCACCAGGAGGTTGTACACTTGTACCTTGATCAGTGAGACCAGGAGGTGGTACACTTGTACCTGGAGTGGTGACAACAGGAGGTGGTACACTTGTACCTTGTGTAGTGACACCAGGAGGTGGTACACTTGTACCTCGAGTAGTGACACCAGGAGGTGGTACACTTGTACCTTGAGCAGTGAGACCAGACGGTGGTACACTTGTACCTGGAGTGGTTACACCAGGAGGTGGTACACTTGTTCCTGGAGTAGTGACACCAGGAGGTGGTACACTTGTATCTTGAGTAGTGACACCAGGAGGTGGTACACTTGTACCTGGAGTAGTGACACCAGGAGGTGGTACACTTGTACCTGGAGTGGTGACACCAGGAGGTGGTACACTTGTACCTTGTGTAGTGACACCAGGAGGTGGTACACTTGTACCTGGAGTAGTGACATCAGGAGGTGGTACACTTGTGCCTTGAGCAGTGAGACCAGAAGGTGGTACACTTGTACCTGGAGTGGTGACACCAGGAGGTGGTACACTTGTACCCGGAGTAGTGACACCAGGCGGTGGTACACTTGTACCTGGAGTGGTGACACCAGGAGGTGGTACACTTGTACCTGGAGTAGTGACACCAGGAGGTGGTACACTTGTACCTTGTGTAGTGACACCAGGAGGTGATACACTTGTACCTGGAGTGGTGACACTAGGAGCTGGTACACTTGTACCTGGAGTAGTGACACCAGGAGGTGGTACACTTGTACCTTGTGTAGTGACACCAGGAGGTGGTACACTTGTACCTGGAGTAGTGACACCAGGAGGTGGTACACTTGTACCTGGAGTAGTGACACCAGCAGGTGGTACACTTGTACCTGGAGTGGTGACACCAGGAGGTGGTACACTTGTCCCTGGAGTGGTGACACCAGGAGGTGGTACACTTGTACCTGGAGTAGTGACACCAGGAGGTGGTACACGTGTGCCTTGAGTAGTGACACCAGGAGGTGGTACACTTGTACCTGGAGTGGTGACACCAGGAGGTGGTACACTTGTACCTGGAGTAGTGAGACCAGGAGGTGGTACACTTGTACCTGGAGTGGTGACACCAGGAGGTGGTACACTTGTATCTTGAGTAGTGACGCCAGGAGGTTGTACACTTGTATCTTGAGTAGTGACACCAGGAGGTGGTACACTTGTATCTTGAGTAGTGACACCAGGAGGTGGTACACTTGTACCTGGAGTAGTGACACCAGGAGGTTGTACACTTGTCCCTGAGGTAGTGACACCAGGAGGTGGTACACGTGTGCCTTGAGTAGTGACACCAGGAGGTGGTACATTTGTACCTTGAGTAGTTACACCAGGAGGTGGTACACTAGTCCCTGGAGTGGTGACACCAGGAGGTGGTACACGAGTCCCTGGAGTGGTGACACCAGGAGGTGGTACACTTGTACCTTGAGTAGTGACACCAGGAGGTGGTACACTTGTCCCTGAGGTAGTGACACCAGGAGGTGGTACACTTGTACCTGGAGTAGTGACACCAGGGGGTGGCACACTTGTACCTGGAGTTGGGACTACAGGAGGTGATACACATGTCCCTTGAGTAGTGACACCAGGAGGTGGTACACTTGTACCTTGAGTAGTGACACCAGGAGGTGGTGCACTTGTTCCTGGAGTGGTGACACCAGGGGGTGGCACACTTGTACCTGGAGTTGTGACTACAGGAGGTGATACACATGTCCCTTGAGTAGTGACACCAGGAGGTGGTACACTTGTATCTTGAGTAGTGACACCAAAATAAGGATTTGGTACACTTGTATCTTGTGTAGTGACACTAGAAGCAGGAGATGGTACACTTGTACCTTGAGTGGTAACACCAGAAGTAGGATTTGGTACACTTGTATCTTGTGTAGTGATAAATTGTTATCCAATCCAAAAATTCAAAATGTTGTTTTATACATGCAAATAATAAATAAATATTGTTGAAACAAATAAAAAATATCTTACAAATCACATTGACTTTTTCCCTCAAGTCATGAGTTTGGTCAAGCACATAGAACATGTTTAATAAACAAAGAATATTGAAATTACATTGATCATTTTGGTAATGTGTGAGACTAAGAGAAGAGGAAATTATCATTTTTTATTTATTAAGAGGGACGATCCAGGAAACTTGGTGATAATACAATAGTCATCAGAAAGATGACATATCCCCCCGACAGCTGTCTGTAAAGTAACCACAAGTAAATGTGCAATTCTGTCTGTAATGAGTCAAGAGTTGAATGTTCTTGAAGAAGCATACACAAGAAAAAATACCCATATATACAAAATATACAATTTTGTATATTTGGTATTTCCAAAAAATACAATTTTGTATAGTTGGTATTTCCAAAACTATACAATTTTGTATATATGGTTAGATTTTACCACTGCTTCATTCAATTTCATCACCCTTCATAGAAGGTTTCACATAATATGTGGTTGCAAAGTTTACTAATGATACCGAACAGTATTATTATTGCATGTGACAATAATGCTTTAATACTATTTTCATTATGACAACTACATGATGTTATGAAATAATTTGTATTTCGTTATGTTTTACATAAGAAATAGAACATTTGTACAGATCTTAATAACAGTTTGATCAATATAAAATGCGTACGCCAGCTGTTTATGATCTATACATACAAGTAGTTGAAAGTAGTTTTAAACATTGATGTTTATCGTTCCAAAGCTCTGTTCTCCAGCTCAGTTCATCTTTGTTTACGAGAACGTTTTTAATATGGGCAATTTTCTTCTTTCGGGACATTGGAGCAGTCATAATATTCATAACATCATAAATATTAAGATTACAGGCAATTTTAACAACTTTAGTACTCCATGAACTTTTACATAGTAACCATTTTCTTCATCAAAGCGTTACAAGTACTGTTTTTAAATCTTGGGGTAGTCTAAAAACATTAGCATGTAATGTAACAAACGGGGAGGAGAGACCCATGTCTCCATTAGTGGCTATACTGGAGGTACCGTTACTAACACCAAGAAATAATTTACAGGCTCTATTTTGGATTAGATTAACGTTTTATCCTCACATACCAGAGCCATAGAAAATTACCGGATCAACAAGACTTTCATACAGTTTCATGAAAACATCATAAGACATACACCCAACAGAATAAGACAAAGCATGGCTGGCAGAATTGTACAACTCTTTCACAGTTTCACATATGAAGATGCTCGTCAACCCGTAGTCCCAGATAACGATATGATTCTACATAGACCAGTGTTTGCCCAGTGTAGAGGAATCTGGTTAATCTGTATCACTTAACGAGTTTGAATAGCTTACTCTGCCCACAGTCGAGAGCAGCACAGTAATTAGTAGTTTAGACCAGGCGAATACACTGGTCACACTTGACTGGTCTGTCTGATGATTCGGTCACCTGCCAAATGGGATGTCTGACAATTGGGTGTGAACCTTACAGAGGAAGTTATTTTATGAATGCGTCACGTGTTTCAAAAGAGATGACCATTATCTAAGTAAAATACTTCTAAGATCATAAAGGACATAACATTTAATAAAGTGAAATTCATTTTCGACTAACTTTTATGAACAAATTTAAAACAGTGCGGGCAGATTCTATTTTCTAAACGGTTTGGGGGGTTGTAAATCGTCCTGTTTCGATCCAGATCTAAAACGAGCTAAAATGCGACGGTGGTCCCTGTATTTAAAACATAAGGAGCAACAACGTTACGATCATGAAAGTTCTTAATGTATTGCCCTTAACGTTATGTTTATCGTTCCAAAGCTGTTCTCCAGCTCAGTTCATCTTTGTTTACGAGAACGTTTTTAATATGGGCAATTTTCAATTTTCATACAGTTTCATAAAAACATCATAAGACATACACCCAACAGAATAAAACAAAGACAAAGCATGGCTGACAGAATTGTACAACTCTTTCACAGTTTCACATATCTCGTCATGCTCGTCAACCCGTAGTCCCAGAAAACGATATGATTCTACATAGACCAGTGTTTGCCCCAAGTAGAGGAATGAAACCGATGATCTCGGTTGTGATTTCTAAAATGAATTACGTTTGTCTTATTCATATTCACTGACAGTTGCCAACGTGTTGACCATTCATGCAGTACATTAAGCATGGATTGTAATCAACATTCATTGGGGGCAGTTAATGCAATATCGGCAGCATACATTAAAAATGGAGAGCATAGTCTCATCAACAAGTACGCCACAATTGAGATTGTTAATAGCCAGGTCGTTAACATACACAGAAAATATAGCTGGGGATAATTTACAGCCTTGCTTTACACCATGTTAAACAGTAAAACGTACTGTAAGAAATTCTCCTACACGTGCAGTAGAATTGACATCGACATACAATCGACTGGATAGCATTCAATATCTTTCCTCGAACTCCAATATTCCTCAGCTTCGCTATAAGGTTTTTTTTACATCAACAAATGTAACAAAGGTTGATTGTTTTGTTTTTTTCTATACTGAACTAAAGACGTTTAAACCTATAAATGATCAATACAGTCTCATTTGGATCTAAAATCATTTTGCTTATCAGCTATGATATTGTCCTTTTCAAGCCACTTAGTCTTTAATTGAGTACATAAGCATATACTTGTTAGGAATAGATGTTACAATGATACCAAAGGGTTTCTAAAATCCTTCATACCGCTCTTAGGAATAGGATGGATATATCGCTGTTCCACATAGCTGGTACAGTTCCATTTAAAAAGCAATAGTTAATAATTCTGTGCGACAAATCAACTGAACTTACATTTTTTTCACACTTCTGCAGGAATATCATCCACATCTGTAGCCTTTCCATTCTTAAGTCTAAAGACTAAAGACTAATGGGATGTCTGGGAGTGAAACTTACATGTTTATCATTTATCCTATCCATTTCTTGAACTAGCTACTCCGAATTGAGCCATAATTCATTCACCACAGTCCTAAGGGGAAATTCAAACATATCCACCTATAATTCACGACTACTGCAATCTTGTCAAATAACATGTGCTTGACATCAGGTCGATTTTATTGATATCTTGTAATGACTGTTGGAATATTATCTATGCATTATCCTGTCCAAAAATCTAGATATATTTACAATATCATGTATGCATTTTTGAATCATTGTATTCCGGAGTGGTCTTCATATAAACTTCTTGACCAATCCGTTCATGTACATTTTCAGAAAAACAGAACACTACATGGGAATACCGTTCGAATTGAGCCTCGCTCAATTTCCCTGTGCGCTGTGATTTTTTATTTATTTTTTTTAAATGAAAATTTTACAGGGACTAGCTGTGCTACCACAATACTTGTGTTAATTAATATTGATAACATTGAATGTTAAACCATTTTTACAGTTGTCTAATTTTAGCGATAATGAAAACTGAGTAGAGATAAGATATATTGATGAACAACGTCTTTATTACAGTAAGGAGCGATGCTTAGGTGTATGTTGTAACACCATTATCAAGCAAGTGATGTTGTAACGGTGTTTCATCTAAACAGTATTATGGGAACGGAAATAAAAACATTACTTCATTCGTTATGCTACCATTTTTGAATATATGTCCATGAGATTAATCTGTTCATTTTTCCGTATTTTTTATTACGGAACTTATAGCTTTGTGTGGCATAAACGATCAAATAGTAAGATGACTACAATTAAAGGGCATTAATAACGAGAGGCTGTTCACATATATGTACATCATATATGTATCACGCGAATCATTTCTGATTTTACTCGACGTAAGAGCTAGAAACGTTACCTACTTCCGGCGCAGCGGTTCTAGATGTTGGCGCTATCTAGATTGGGTCCCTGACACATGCAGCTCTATTTGATGGGTGTATTGTACTTAATAAGCTGAACTTTTATAAATCTATTTTTTGCAAATATATACTAGTCACTCCAACTAATCATTGTTACTAAAATATATAGGATTGTTGTCGATAGCGTGTCCATTCGTATGTCTGTTTTACGTCTGTTCTACTAATTATTGACACTAAGAAACTCGTACAATTTTTTAAATCATTACTAAACGTGTTGTACTTGTCTACATCTTAATTGAAAAGTGGGAGAAAAGTTGCTTACTGTATTTTGCCGCCTTTGATGGTTCTGATGATCAAGATGACAACGTCAAAATCGTAGTCTTCAGGAGTCGATGAGGATTCAGGAGTTTTTGAATTGATGCAGAATCAAGGTTCATCCCTTCCGACCCGTTGGGGGTTATTATAGGCCTAATAGTGCACTACGTGATTTATGTCCAGGCCCCCGTGACATGCAGTTGTCATGTGACATGTAATTAACTAATTGAATTGCAAAAACAATTCCGACAGCAAATAACCGCATCCACAACAACAATGCGTGGATGCAAAGAAAGAAACCATTTTAAACCCCTTTCTGTATATTTGTATTTGTATTCCTTTCTGAAACTATCATTCTACAAACAGTTGTGTTCACCGCCCATTGTGATACTTCTACTTAAGAAAATAAAAAAGGATGTTTATTTAGTCATTTGACATGCGTTCATTGTAAACAAAGATTAGTGTGAAAGGATTACTAAGTTTGTCATCCAGTATAATGCACTTCCTCGATTAGCATAATTAGAATAGAGTTTGTAATTAGTTATATCCTGACTCCAGTTAACCAAGGCAGCTACATCAGTTGTGATTTATGAATTTGTGGAATCTTAATAAATAAACGACCGCCTGTCGCAAAAATGCAAACGAACATTGAACACGCACAGTCGTAGATTTTCCTTTCGTACATTTGAGGGTGAACGTGATCGAAGCCGTGCAAGATGCTTTACAGCGATTTGTCTTCAGAACACATATTGAGCTCAGGTAAGTTTATTAATGATGATATTTTCATTCATTCATAGATATGGCGATCATGAGCGCTGACACTATATGTATTCGCAATAGAACATTTGGAAGACTAGACACAAATTGAGTCACAATATGACAACATCAAATCAAAGAATTTGTTTAATGCAACAGATTTAAGGCATTGACATTG